CAGATAGCCATTTTAGCTGAGTCAGCACATGGCTGAGATGCGTAAATTAAGACCACGCCTACCAACCACGCCCATTTTCGCCAAAAATTTTTGCTGCGTGCTTCGCGCGCAGCAATTTCCGAACCCCCTATTTCAAGTTCCTGGCTACGGCCCTGCTCTGGTTGATCCTCAAGGTAATAAAATTTAATTGAATTCTTTGGACACGGATTGCGACGCACATTCTCCGTTCATTGCTAGGTGATCACGTGATCCGTTTCCAATCCCTTTTAACTCTAATACCGTACAGCAGGAAATATTTGCGGGGAATTAAATTTTGCGAGTTTGCGATTCCATTTAAAGCGCAAAATTTAAATCCGCAAAAATAATGAAATTCATGCATGACCACAGTAGATAATGCTACAATAACTGTCAAAACCGCAAATATTTAATCCGCAAACCAGGTTATTTTTAAGGATTCGCAAAATTTTTCTCCGCAAAATTAACCAGCTGTACGGTATCTATGGTTTGACACCAGCCGCTTGGAATTTGAAAAATGTAGGATACGTCACTGATTACGTATATAATGATATTCATAGAAGCATGGCCGACATTTTACAGCTGCGTAGTTGGCCAGTATTGCACTCTTAAAAAGGTTTTGTTTGTTCTGATAAGCAGTACAATAGCTGCTGGAGTCAACTAGTCTTTATACAGGCAATCATTATCAGAAGATCTTGCTCTATTAGCTTTAAAAAAGAAGAATTATCAGTTTGGGTGCTCGACTACATGTTCTTATGTAAACTATGACGTAGATAAATTGTCATAAAACGTTATTTTGGTATGCCATTGAGTTTATAGGGAGAACCCGGTTCTCAGGGTTCCCAAGGGCTGAGAGACCCAAGACCTGAGATCCTGTGATGGCATTGGGCGACTAAGAAGCTGTGAAAGTTTCATCCTTATCCCATATTTCTATAAAAAGTTATTCCAGTTTTTCTTGAGTCAAACTCAGTGTATAATTGATACCATTACAACGCACATGCACATGAGTGGTTTATCATTGTAGTAGATTTTTTAGCACATCATTACACATCATTTACTGGTAGAGTAGGTTACAATTAATTATTAATGTAAAATATGTAGTTTATTTTTAGACACTGTATGTGTTACTATTATTAGTAACAAAATACATTTATGTCTACTATCAGTCAATAATTAGAACACAATTAGTACATACAGTTAGTTAGTTGTATTAAATATACTGATAGATACAGTGAGTTTGTCTTATCATTGAATGTACTAATAATACATGTACAATACGCAAATAGAACAGTATCCTATAGCTAATTATCATACAAAACTCATAAGTATAGGTTATAAAAATGTAAGGTGGAGGTAGCTATGTCATTTATTACACTGATAGGTCTCAGTCACAAGGTTTATACTGAAGACCATGAATACTGATACTGGAACAATTTCACAAAATAATGCAACAAATTCCAAACTAACAATTAAGTTTGTACATTTCCAATTCCAAAACTTATAACCCAATGCACTATGGCTGAGCTGAAATTTTACATAACAACTCACTATATATTTGCTGCGTGTCCATAACTTAATTTGTAATAACATTCTTAACAGTAAACCATGCATGGTCCATGATCATTCAAAACATTCTACTGTTCCATCTATGGTTCCATGGTCTCTGCCTGGTCACAAACCAGTCTTCATTAATAAAACCACACCCAACAATTGATTTGCTAGACTATATAAACAAGGTTGAGAGAACAAGATTCAAGAAGCAACAGCAACTCACTATACTTCAAGCGGAAGGGACCCCAGATATTATTAGGAAAGCTTTATTGAAGTATTTTGATCTATTTACTGAAGGAATGACTACTAATGATCTAGTAAGTTATAGATTGTACTGTATTGATCTTAGTTTGGTTGATGAGCACTAATCCACTGAGAAAATAGCAGTAGAAGGAGGCCAGAGTGTGAAATGTGACAGTATAAATTGCGCATTATAGCTGATAATTTTGAATACATGGGTATGAACTAGTTCAGAAAAGCCCTGAGATTATGTGAAACTTGTGGGTCCTATATATACTTCTCCCATTTGGAGGCAGGTCTGATATTTTTATGTCTTGTTAATTCCCCTGGGTCTGGTTGATTAGTTGGTACACTCATGCAGTGGTCCAGTGTGTTCAGTTGGAATGCAGTTATCATCAAGGAATATTATAGTGTGGTGTGTGAATGAGAAGAGAAGTGCCTGTGAGAGAGAGACAGTGAAAGGAGCCCATAGTCAATCCACTAATGTTATACTATATACATGTATATACACGACCATCTTGTATATATATATATATATATATATATATATATATGTATGTATATATATATAAGTGCCTATACATTTGTTCCTTTTGCAACTTTTGAGTGCAACCAGTAAAAGTTGACCTATATATATATATATATATAGCGTAGAGTACACTGTAAAATATGCCTGTTTTTTGTTGTGGAAAATTTTTGCAAATGTTGTTTTATAGGATTTTGCATAATTGATTTTTGCAAATATAGCTTGCATACTGCACCACATGGCAATGGAGATGCAAAATTGTGTGGTGAAGATTTTGCAACGGAGCAAAAATGCAAAATTTGCAAAAACTTTTTTACCACAAAATAAACCGGTATACAATGTAATAAGTTTTATGAGATTATTAAAAAAATATATATCATTAAAACTACAGTCCATGTCCCATAATACCACCTGTCTATGAATGTACTTTGTTTTGCATCTGTGCAAGGAACAATCTGATTCATAATTTTGAATTTTCTAGTTGTTTTGATCATTTTACTAGCTAATTAACCTATGATTGTGTGTGTGTATT